ACTCTTCATAGCTTGAGTAAAGCTAGAAAAGTAAGTGATGCTCATCCCTCCAAGTAGAGGAGTTATAATGTAAAAGCAAAAAAAACAAAGACCCGATCTTCAATGAAGAATGACTGAATCACGTCCCACCCTTCACGGCTTTGGTAAAGCTTTAGAAAAGTGAAAGAGTTTCACTCCTCTAAGAAAAAAGGAAGCTCAAGCAATGGAAGTGAAAGATATGAACAGTGAAATTAGAAGAAAGCTAGTCACTTTTGGAGGGTTGCTTCCTCAACCAACAAATGGAGGGTTGCTTCCTCAACCAAAAGATGAGCTAGCTCCCTTGATATAAGCAAATATAACATACATCTAAGACTAGCTACATGAGTGGGAGTCTAAGCCTCCATCTAGCTCTCTACTACCCCCCCTCTTTAAAGGCTTCTCCAAGGGGAGTATTTATAGGCAAGGAGGAAAGGGGGGGGGGTGAGACAAGAGAGTGTGAAGGAATAGTGTATGCTGCCCAAGCCTAAGTGAAAAGCCAACTACTATGCAGCCTACCTGTTCGAACGTTCGAACGTGAGTTGACATTCGAACGTTATATCTGTTTTTCCTTTATGGGCGTTCGAACATTGTATGACGTTCAAAAGTTTCTTCTGTCTTTGCTTTATAGGCGTTCAAACGCCAGATAGGGCCTGACCTTCTCACTCAAGTGGCCCGTGGTCTTTTGTGGAAACCTATTTCCATACTCCATGCACATCTTTGCTGCAACACGCCATGTCTCAACAATCTGGTCTTCAATCACTCAAGTGGATGTTTAAACGTGGTACTCAATTACCTCAGAGTCTTCCTTCTTGCCTGCAACACGCCATATCTCAGCAGTTTGGTCTTCAATCACTCAAATGGACGTTCGAACGTGAGTTGGCGTTCGAACGTTATTGGCTTGGTCCAAGTCTTTCCAATTTTTCTCCAGAATATGTTGGTGTTGCATGAAAGTTTGATACTCATTGCCTTTAGTCCCTTGTACAATTTATGGCCTGAAATGTCATCATTTAAACTCCATCAAAGTATAATTAGTCTTAAAAGAGCATAGTAATATGTTAATTAACTACTAATCATTGAGTATTTTGTCTATGTGGATGCATATTACAAGGACTTGGGTGTGTGTTAATGCAAATTAATTTTTGGATTGAAACCTTAATTTTCTTTAAGAACCAGTTTGCATATAAAATGTTTTGAATTTTATTATGACGTATTGATTTAATGATTGACTTCTTATTGGATCTAAATTCGTTAAAGACCTTGCTTGATGATTTTTGATGAATTTAACTTGAATGCACACAATTGATGGTAGAGGTTTAGCAGACGGATGGTCCTTGCGAGGATCCACATAATTCTTACTAGTACTAGGGTTCATTGGTTATTAATATCGGTTGTTGTGAGTAGCTTGTGTGGCATTGCATAATTTCCTATATTAGTGTTCCAAGACAAGTAAGAAGGGCATTAGGTTCCCTAGGGTGCAAGACTCCAAAGGTTTTTCCAAAAACGGTTCATGCGTGGACCAAAAAATTGACGAATTGTGATTATTGATATGTGTTGCACTCCTGTGAGTTTTAATTTAATCTATTGCTACGCTTATTTGTTATTTGATTATATTTGTATATTGTTTTAAAATCTTGGTAGTCATTGATAAAAGTTATCCTACTGGGCCAGTGAACTCATTCTTAATTATCATATTTTCAGGAGCAGGAAGGGATCTATGGGAGTAAGCTGGGGAAAACTATAGATTTAAGCTATTACTACTATTTCTCTTTATATTGCTTATCTAGTCTTGTTATGTTCATGAATGTAACATTATCCAAGATATATTTTAGTATAAGGTTGGTTATTATGCGTTATTGATGGTTTATTCCTCGCCCGATTATTTAGAGGGAAAAAAATCGGGGTGTGACACAAGGCCAACAAGGAAAAGTTATTAAGTCCCATTTCAAATCGTTAGATAACAACGTTATGCTTAAGGGCAAAATAGCAGTTCACTGTCGTGTAGTTCATTATCGGGTAGTTCACTATCTGGAGTGGGGTGGGGATGGGGGTGGGGTAAGGTAGGGTGGGGGGGGCAAGATATGATAATGTTTTTTTAAATAACCTCAATATTTTTATTAACTTTATACCATAAATGTCTCTAAGATGAACCTTTCACCTAAAAAATGCAAGACATTGTAGTTATCCCCCCGACTTTCCAAAGAAAAAGTCGGGGCATGTTTGTTTGCCGGATATATGAGGTATTAGGGGGTGGGATAGAGTAAACATAGGGCCCACCTATTACCTTGTTTGATTGACATTTTATGTGCAGTACTATTTTTTAGGTTCCAACACCGACCTGGTTTGTATTGTATCTTTTAACCATTGTACATGGCTTTAACGAATACCACCTACCAAGTGGTATTATTTGCTGGCATAAATCCACCAATGATACAAGCAAGAAAAATGACACAAATCACATATAAAAAATTTATTTTGAAATTTTCCTTTATATTATGTTTAAGCGTATGGTGTCACANGCGTTCGAACGTTATTGGCTTGGTCCAAGTCTTTCCAATTTTTCTCCAGAATATGTTGGTGTTGCATGAAAGTTTGATACTCATTGCCTTTAGTCCCTTGTACAATTTATGGCCTGAAATGTCATCATTTAAACTCCATCAAAGTATAATTAGTCTTAAAAGAGCATAGTAATATGTTAATTAACTACTAATCATTGAGTATTTTGTCTATGTGGATGCATATTACAAGGACTTGGGTGTGTGTTAATGCAAATTAATTTTTGGATTGAAACCTTAATTTTCTTTAAGAACCAGTTTGCATATAAAATGTTTTGAATTTTATTATGACGTATTGATTTAATGATTGACTTCTTATTGGATCTAAATTCGTTAAAGACCTTGCTTGATGATTTTTGATGAATTTAACTTGAATGCACACAATTGATGGTAGAGGTTTAGCAGACGGATGGTCCTTGCGAGGATCCACATAATTCTTACTAGTACTAGGGTTCATTGGTTATTAATATCGGTTGTTGTGAGTAGCTTGTGTGGCATTGCATAATTTCCTATATTAGTGTTCCAAGACAAGTAAGAAGGGCATTAGGTTCCCTAGGGTGCAAGACTCCAAAGGTTTTTCCAAAAACGGTTCATGCGTGGACCAAAAAATTGACGAATTGTGATTATTGATATGTGTTGCACTCCTGTGAGTTTTAATTTAATCTATTGCTACGCTTATTTGTTATTTGATTATATTTGTATATTGTTTTAAAATCTTGGTAGTCATTGATAAAAGTTATCCTACTGGGCCAGTGAACTCATTCTTAATTATCATATTTTCAGGAGCAGGAAGGGATCTATGGGAGTAAGCTGGGGAAAACTATAGATTTAAGCTATTACTACTATTTCTCTTTATATTGCTTATCTAGTCTTGTTATGTTCATGAATGTAACATTATCCAAGATATATTTTAGTATAAGGTTGGTTATTATGCGTTATTGATGGTTTATTCCTCGCCCGATTATTTAGAGGGAAAAAAATCGGGGTGTGACACAAGGCCAACAAGGAAAAGTTATTAAGTCCCATTTCAAATCGTTAGATAACAACGTTATGCTTAAGGGCAAAATAGCAGTTCACTGTCGTGTAGTTCATTATCGGGTAGTTCACTATCTGGAGTGGGGTGGGGATGGGGGTGGGGTAAGGTAGGGTGGGGGGGGCAAGATATGATAATTTTTTTTTAAATAACCTCAATATTTTTATTAACTTTATACCATAAATGTCTCTAAGATGAACCTTTCGCCTAAAAAATGCAAGACATTGTAGTTATCCCCCCGACTTTCCAAAGAAAAAGTGGGGGCATGTTTGTTTGCCGGATATATGAGGTATTAGGGGGTGGGATAGAGTAAACATAGGGCCCACCTATTACCTTGTTTGATTGACATTTTATGTGCAGTACTATTTTTTAGGTTCCAACACCGACCTGGTTTGTATTGTATCTTTTAACCATTGTACATGGCTTTAACGAATACCACCTACCAGGTGGTATTATTTGCTGGCATAAATCCACCAATGATACAAGCAAGAAAAATGACACAAATCACATATAAAAAATTTATTTTGAAATTTTCCTTTATATTATGTTTAAGCGTATGGTGTCACAGATTTTTTAAAAAAATTATTTTGAATTTTTTCTTTGTATTATGTTTAAGCGTACGGTGTCACTATTTTTTTTTAAAAAAAAAAATTTATTTTGATTTTTTTCTTGTATTATGTATAAGCATTAAGTGTCACCAATTTTTTTAATTTTTTTTTAAAATTATTTTGAGTTTTTTCCTTAAATTATGTTTAAGCGTACGGTGTCACATATATTTTTTTATGGTGTCACTGATTTATAACATCAGATTCTTAATTTTTTATGTGTATTTTTTACATTATCCAGAATTTTTTGGGTATGGATTGCCATACCATGTATTATATTAACCATTGTGTAAAAATGTTATACAAACAGAGTAATGGAATAAATGATGCTAAGGATAAAATTATATATTTTTTATATAAGATGTGATAGAATAAATAGTTATTTGTGAGACCATTATAATACTTATTGAACAAACCAACATGGGCANTACCATGTATTATATTAACCATTGTGTAAAAATGTTATACAAACAGAGTAATGGAATGAATGATGCTAAAGATAAAATTATATATTTTTTATATAAGATGTGATAGAATAAATAGTTATTTGTGAGACCCATTATAATACTTATTGAACAAACCAACATGGACGTAGATTGATATAATTTCTATTACCAGTATTAATTTTCATTGATATTAAAAATATAAAAAATACATTTATTAATACCGTACATAACAACACATGCCCTCGGTGTATAATCGAACCAAAGAGCAACCGGGCCATCCATGACTCCGACCTACGGGTCACGATCTACTAAAACAATCCCTAAAATCAACGCGCTCTGAATACAGAGACCACCTAATGAAAGAAATGCGGTGCCCGTACTGCTCGGCGGCGCAGGGGCGGTGCGCCACCACTACCACCGGACGATCCATAACCGAGTGCGCTTCCTGCGGCCGAGTAGTAGAAGAACGCCAAACTCAACCCCACCACCTCTTCCACCTCCGAGCCCAAGACTCCCCTCTCTGCCTCGTCACCTCCGACCTCCCCACTCCTCCCACCACCACCACCATGACAAAGTGCCAACCGAAAGACCAATCCGAAGAAGACCCATTCGAACCCACTGGTTTCATAACCGCATTCTCCACCTGGTCGCTCGAGCCTTACCCAGTCTTTGCACAATCTTCCATCTCCTTCGCTGGTCATCTTGCTGAGCTCGAACGTGTCCTCGAAACGACGTCGTCTTCGTCTTCGTCTTCGTCTTCGAGCTCCAATTCTGGGCCTTCGGTAGTTGTGGATAATTTGAGAGCGTATCTTCAGATCATTGATGTTGCGTCTATACTTGGGTTGGACTATNACATAATTCTTACTAGTACTAGGGTTCATTGGTTATTAATATCGGTTGTTGTGAGTAGCTTGTGTGGCATTGCATAATTTCCTATATTAGTGTTCCAAGACAAGTAAGAAGGGCATTAGGTTCCCTAGGGTGCAAGACTCCAAAGGTTTTTCCAAAAACGGTTCATGCGTGGACCAAAAAATTGACGAATTGTGATTATTGATATGTGTTGCACTCCTGTGAGTTTTAATTTAATCTATTGCTACGCTTATTTGTTATTTGATTATATTTGTATATTGTTTTAAAATCTTGGTAGTCATTGATAAAAGTTATCCTACTGGGCCAGTGAACTCATTCTTAATTATCATATTTTCAGGAGCAGGAAGGGATCTATGGGAGTAAGCTGGGGAAAACTATAGATTTAAGCTATTACTACTATTTCTCTTTATATTGCTTATCTAGTCTTGTTATGTTCATGAATGTAACATTATCCAAGATATATTTTAGTATAAGGTTGGTTATTATGCGTTATTGATGGTTTATTCCTCGCCCGATTATTTAGAGGGAAAAAAATCGGGGTGTGACACAAGGCCAACAAGGAAAAGTTATTAAGTCCCATTTCAAATCGTTAGATAACAACGTTATGCTTAAGGGCAAAATAGCAGTTCACTGTCGTGTAGTTCATTATCGGGTAGTTCACTATCTGGAGTGGGGTGGGGATGGGGGTGGGGTAAGGTAGGGTGGGGGGGGCAAGATATGATAATTTTTTTTTAAATAACCTCAATATTTTTATTAACTTTATACCATAAATGTCTCTAAGATGAACCTTTCGCCTAAAAAATGCAAGACATTGTAGTTATCCCCCCGACTTTCCAAAGAAAAAGTGGGGGCATGTTTGTTTGCCGGATATATGAGGTATTAGGGGGTGGGATAGAGTAAACATAGGGCCCACCTATTACCTTGTTTGATTGACATTTTATGTGCAGTACTATTTTTTAGGTTCCAACACCGACCTGGTTTGTATTGTATCTTTTAACCATTGTACATGGCTTTAACGAATACCACCTACCAAGTGGTATTATTTGCTGGCATAAATCCACCAATGATACAAGCAAGAAAAATGACACAAATCACATATAAAAAATTTATTTTGAAATTTTCCTTTATATTATGTTTAAGCGTACGGTGTCACAGATTTTTAAAAAAAATTATTTTGAATTTTTTCTTTGTATTATGTTTAAGCGTACGGTGTCACTATTTTTTTTTAAAAAAAAAAATTTATTTTGATTTTTTTCTTGTATTATGTATAAGCATTAAGTGTCACCAATTTTTTTAATTTTTTTTTAAAATTATTTTGAGTTTTTTCCTTAAATTATGTTTACGCGTACGGTGTCACATATATTTTTTTATGGTGTCACTGATTTATAACATCAGATTCTTAATTTTTTATGTGTATTTTTTACATTATCCAGAATTTTTTGGGTATGGATTGCCATACCATGTATTATATTAACCATTGTGTAAAAATGTTATACAAACAGAGTAATGGAATGAATGATGCTAAGGATAAAATTATATATTTTTTATATAAGATGTGATAGAATAAATAGTTATTTGTGAGACCATTATAATACTTATTGAACAAACCAACATGGACGTAGATTGATATAATTTCTATTACCAGTATTAATTTTCATTGATATTAAAAATATAAAAAATACATTTATTAATACCGTACATAACAACACATGCCCTCGGTGTATAATCGAACCAAAGAGCAACCGGGCCATCCATGACTCCGACCTACGGGTCACGATCTACTAAAACAATCCCTAAAATCAACGCGCTCTGAATACAGAGACCACCTAATGAAAGAAATGCGGTGCCCGTACTGCTCGGCGGCGCAGGGGCGGTGCGCCACCACTACCACCGGACGATCCATAACCGAGTGCGCTTCCTGCGGCCGAGTAGTAGAAGAACGCCAAACTCAACCCCACCACCTCTTCCACCTCCGAGCCCAAGACTCCCCTCTCTGCCTCGTCACCTCCGACCTCCCCACTCCTCCCACCACCACCACCATGACAAAGTGCCAACCGAAAGACCAATCCGAAGAAGACCCATTCGAACCCACTGGTTTCATAACCGCATTCTCCACCTGGTCGCTCGAGCCTTACCCAGTCTTTGCACAATCTTCCATCTCCTTCGCTGGTCATCTTGCTGAGCTCGAACGTGTCCTCGAAACGACGTCGTCTTCGTCTTCGTCTTCGAGCTCCAATTCTGGGCCTTCGGTAGTTGTGGATAATTTGAGAGCGTATCTTCAGATCATTGATGTTGCGTCTATACTTGGGTTGGACTATGATATATCCGACCACGCTTTTCAGCTCTTCAGGGACTGTTCTTCAGCTACCTGTTTGAGGAATCGGAGTGTTGAAGCTCTTGCCACTGCCGCTCTTGTTCAGGCCATTCGCGAGGCCCAAGAACCTAGAACCCTCCAGGTATACATTTACATACACAAACATAGATGTACTACTTATTAGCATAACCTCAGCTGCCTAAACAGAGTCATGCATTGCATCACAGCAGTACTGGATCAACTCTCCAATCCAGCGGCAGAATTGTGAAGTCAGCTACTGGTACTGAGTCAGCAGAGTTTGTTAAGAGTTTCTTAGTGTTAGTTTAGCTAGCTGTAATTAGTTAGGATTAACTGATTAAACTATTAGCTAACTGTGTGTACAGTAGAAACTCTATATATAGGACTGTAATTAACAGAAATGGAATTAGAAGAACATTCCTCATTCTCTGCTTGAGATCATCTTCTTCCTCCAATATTCACATGGTATCATAGCTTTAAGAAGAGACCTTCGTCTCCATCAATGGCAACTTCTAATTCTTCATCTTCCAGTTCTTCTTCTTCGTCTGTTTCAACTTCTAACCTGACCTCGTTTCAAAATCAAAATCCATCTCCAATATACCTTCTCTCAAATATTTGTAGCCTGATTTCTCTTCAGTTGGATTTCATTTGGATTCGACTAACCTTGGAGATTCCAGATCTCTTCTCTGCTACGAGCACATTCACTCATAGGCTTTGTTGATGGATCGTACTCATGTCCCAAAAATTTTCTCTGAAATGAAGCTCGAGAATTAACATCCGAAATGAATCCACTCTTTCAACAATGGATAATTCAAGATCAGGCTCTAATAACGCTGATCAATGCAACCTTGTCTGACTCAAGTAGCTGGATATACAACTTCTCGTCAAGTGTGGGATTTGCTTGAGAGAAGCTTCTCATCTTAGTCCAGATCTAACAGTCTGCAACTGAAAACAAATCTTCAAACGATTATGAAAGGCAATGATTCTATAGACACTTATGTTCAAAAGATCAAAGAAGCAAGGGATAAACTAGCTGCTTTCTGTGCTTGAAATTGCTGGCCCCTCCGTATTACCCCATGCCGTAGTCCTAGTTTATCAGTATCTAGNTCAAAGAAGCAAGGGATAAACTAGCTGCTTTCTGTGCTTGAAATTGCTGGCCCCTCCATATTACCTCATGCCGTAGTCCTAGTTTACCAGTATCTACNAACTAGCTGCTTTCTGTGCTTGAAATTGCTGGCCCCTCCGTATTACCCCATGCCGTAGTCCTAGTTTATCAGTATCTAGGAATAATGAAGTCTTCATAGTTGGAGTTAGGAGTGTTGCTTCCCAAAGATTTTAAGTTGTGGCAACACGTGAATATTGGCCAACATATTGTTGCTTGATGAGCAAAATTTTAGTGGCGTACCATCTCAAATGTAATCTTTGTGATTTTCGAGAAGAGGTGTCTTGTGTAGGAAAGCAGGCTAAGTGGTAATGGTACTAAGCCAATGGATGGAAAGACCCTCTTATGAGATAATCATGTTGTACCCTTGGTGCAGTCACACGAGTGTGAAGTTCTTAGGGTTTGTATAATGAAAACCATTATAAGCAGGAGTTGTGGTTATGTATAGACAGACTCATGGAATTTCAAATTCTTTTAACCAATACCTACTTGGGAAAAAAGTTCTTTTAACCCATAACTACGGTTATAATGAGTAAGTCTTTGTGTAGTTGATACTGTTCTAGCTGCCCCAACTCTTAAATCTGTGGGAAATTCATTATTGCTGGTCATCTGGGCCTTGGGAGTATGGGGCTCCTTTGTTGTTCTTTTGTTGCCTTTGAGAAAAGCTTATAGTGACTGGTAGGTTGGCCATGCACTGCTTGCTTAGTTCCCATTTAATAAGCTGGAGCTGCTGTTTATTGAAGGTTATTGGCATTTTGTAGAGGTTTGTGGATATGGAAGCATAATTATGCCAGATTGGACTTTGTATGGAAAGAATGGTAGACAAAGTAGCAATAGGTTATATTTCATGCCATCCATCATATTTATTAATTGATTGACATTTGAGAGCACCTCACAGCCAATAAAAGCATCCCATAATTTCTCAGGTGGTTTTTGGGCTCATACTATAGCTTTGATTTTTGACTGTTCAGGTTTTTCCCAGCCCCATCAAATCCAACCCTGCCCATGTGCAAATTGACTTGGGTTAGAGTGATCATGTAGGATTGGAGGTTGACTAGAAGATGATGTTCTACTTCTACCTTCCTTACGTAGCCAGACCATCGTGATGTTGTTAATGTCAATTCTTCTCCCTTTGATCCCATCTCGTTACAACTGCAATTATTTGAGAAGTCATCTGGTGGTAATTCTTAGAAGGATGATATTAGCACTGAATAATGGTTGCTTTTACTGGTCTTAGTAGGTGTACACANTCTTCTCCCTTTGATCCCATCTCGTTACAACTGCAATTATTTGAGAAGTCATCTGGTAGTAATTCTTAGAAGGATGATATTAGCACTGAATAATGGTTGCTTTTACTGGTCTTAGTAGGTGTACACATGCATGTGAACCGATTCGAATATGAAAATCATATTCCAAAATCTTAGATAATTTTTTCCAATACCCAAAAACTGACTAAACATTGACCATTAAACAATAAAGAATCACGCCATTGATACTTTAATGAAGGATGATTTATATGCAAATTGATAAGATAGTGATGCTATGAAAAATACAGCTTTGCTCACTCCCTCCCTATTCTTCGTTATGGTAGTGTCTTGCACCCCATTAATTAGAGTTGGAATAGTGCAAGAGAATACGATCCCCATTAGAAGACATTGTTAAGCATAATAGAGTTGCAGATCTGATATATTTCCATGTGGCCGTAATAAGCAATCCTAAACCAAAAAAAGAATAAAGGTAGTTGTTCAAGTGCATTTAGTAGCATAAAAACACAACAATCAAGTCAAATTTATTGAGGAAAAGATCTAATAGATCTGTATATTTTTACAATAGTGAAATAATACTCTTCTAGTAAAACTCGGTAGATGTACTTATATATGTTCAAAACAAGGTTAAGAAAGACCATAAAACATTCCAACTTTATGCCTTGCACTATGTAACATTGACATTGTGATAATTTACTGTTTGCTTTTCTCCCTCCCCCTCCCCCTCTGATGGCTTTTATAACTAATCACAAAATATATGTTTTTTATTGATAAATATTAAATATGGAGCATTTTCTGTTTCCACTATTTTTTTGTCGAAATTATGTTAGCTGTATTACTTCAATATTTTGACAGTGCACTAACTTTTACCTGCCACATATTACCTACTAACAGAAAAACTGGGGATTGAAGCTAATATAAGTCGGAAGCACTATTCAATAGTCAAACAAAAACCAGGGGATCATTTGGTAAAAAAGCAGCCATTAAAGCCACACCTAGAATCTGTAAAACCTATAAGATTAAATAGCAAGTACCAACACATTACACTCTTCCAGTCACTTCGCCTTTATATTTTCCACCTGAAATTGGACCTAACCCTCATGGAATCTAGCCATCCTATTAATGTCCATCTTGCCCAAGACTTTGCAGGCCAACAGAAAAAGGAAGCTAAAAACACAAGAACAACATATTAAATGACTAATGAGAACAACCCAAATAAATTTTCAATGAAATTGGCCGCAATTGCACAATAGAAATATTTGTGATGTAAAGAGTTTACTTTGGTAGAGCAATAGAATTATGTTTACAGGTAACTACAATAGTTAACATAGAATTATGTTTACAGTTAACTACAATAGTGAACAAAGAAAACGCTCTTTATTGCAAAACCATTTTGTTGCTTCAGTGAACAATAAATTTCTTTTTCATCTACTTAAATACAAGGAAAATAAACAAGCACTAACTTGCAATAGGCTAGTAGAAAGGTTGAGCACTTTGTGGACTTGGCGAATGACAATAAAAACTTGCAAATCTCAGCAAACATAAGCTTGTTGTTTTCCATGGAAAGATACATAATTTATTTAAAATAGTCTCAGATCAATCAAACAGAATTTTTTTTTGTGGTATCAGAACCTATTGAAGTAGTAGAGCTAGTTTTTGCAGCTCCGCAACAGGCAGCGTGTGCGTGTTCTTAAGAGAGACTCCCATGACTATTTCAATTTGTTTATCAATTTAATGTGAAGGAAGCCAAAATATAGAATGCTGGAATTTCCTCAAACTCCAATAGCTTATTGCTACATTTATTGCAAATTGAGACAATTCCCAGAGTTTGTGGAGTCTAGAAGTTAAGGAGTTGTAGCAGTTGTGAATGAAGGGAGATTATGAGGCCATGAAATGATTCAATTTCATTTGATAACTGATGTCTGGAATGTTTATTGGCAGATAGCTTTAATGAAGGAAGTGAAGGGGTTTTTGGTATGTTCTAAGAATGGGTATTGCATTTAGAAATAAATACATATCATGTTACATAGAATAATCCACGTGTAGGTCAAAGGATTCAATCTATTGGAACTGATGATATGGTAAATGTCCATCCTGGCATTATTGCGCAGAGATAGAAGCGCAGAGAAAGGAAGAATTAAAATAAAATATAGGGAGAGAATGAAAGAAGCAGAAACATAGCATGAGGAAGCCTATTCATCATAGAACTCAGGGGACCTGTTCTTGTGGTAATTGGGAGTAAAAGTCACTTTATTATTCAAGGGTGAAACTGGATAATAATACTAGCACTAGGTAGAATTACAATGTACAATAGAAAACTAACGCATCGTTTGGTATGCGGTAATGTTTTTAAGCAGGAATGAAATGAATATGAGAATAGAATGAGCTCAGAAATACAATGGAATATGTATTACCATTTCAATATTTGACAATTAATTGGGGTTAAGTATTGGAATGGAATGTGAATTCCATTCCAACGATTGGATAAAATAATTTCTATTGGAATGGAATGAAATTTAACCAAAATAAGTTTTTTATTATAAAATTTCTAACTCGATTAGCATACTCCCTTACAATGAGTACTTCTGTTAATTTTAAAACATGATAAATAAAGATTAAATGAGCAGTCAATACAGTCACAAATAATCAATTAGCAAAAACATTCGCCCAATGAATAATAAAAATTGACAACAAAAAAAAAATGAAAAAAAACCAGAAATGCAATACTTTCATTCAAAAAATGATCAGGTCGGAGTCATGTGCTAGCATATCTGAGGTTTTGTGCCCTCACTTATGGAAAGTCTGGCAACTTCATCAAGTCTTCATAAATATTTTTTCTTTAAGTCGCAAACTATAGCATCAATTCCAACTGCATGTGTAAACACAGTTGTTGCCTCCTTAATCTCGGGACTAATGAAAGATGCAACATTCATTAACCCTTCAGGTACCATCTCATCTATACTCCTACTTCCTTTCTTTGGCCTTGCACTCCCAACCTGCTTGTGCATGATGTTTTCATAAATGACATGGATGCATTAATGCCATCGGATGCATTTGCAACTTGCTCATTTTCATTGTTCTTTCTTTTGTCTCTAATTCCTCCATCACATCAGACGAGGCATGAACCTTTGAACCAGTGGCCCGATCCTTTCCAAATATTATGCACAAATCCTCATAAAAAGGGAAAGATTTGTCTCTGAACTTCTCTGTTCTCTTGTGGCGCTCTCTTGTGGCTCTACAGTAAAAATATATACAACATTTAAACCCCTATAACAGTAAACTTGTGCAACAATGATTGACTTGCAGACATCACTATTTAAAAACAATCACGTGTTTATGAAGTTATGACGATTAGAGAATTCATAAGCTAACAACTAAAAACTGTATTTCAAAATCATGTAAACCAGAGTAGTCAATGACATTCACAAAGCAAACCACAAAATTAACAAACAACAAACTATGGTACATACCTGATGCTATTCTTTAAAGTACCAAATCTTACCTGACCACTACTAAGACTCAGATGGACACTGTGTTCAATAGTGAAATTGACTCCAGAATTTTTGAGGAAATCAAATAGTGAGGAAATCAAACTGACTCTAATATCCAATGTTTATTCGAATCTGCTCTGGTTTCGAAATTTCACTACCTCTAATTACTTCAACATCAAAACAGATCATATGCCCCATTACTTAATTAGGAAAACCAGCTGATACAATTTCATTGATAACTATCTCACCCAAATGTAATATAATCAATATATATTTTTCTTTCATGAGCACTATGTTATTAATTAAAATGATAGAGTCCAACCATAATGGATCTGTAACTTCAAAAATGGACAGATATGATAAAGTAAATGAATCTTGCTGCAATCAATCAAAAGATATGACCAGACTTGCCCAATTCAGGTCATATTAAGAGAAATCATACCAAAACTCCAATGCACAAAACTGCGTGATTTTTCCACAACTTTCCTAGATTTTTCGCAACCACACCAATCTCAAAACTACCTAGAACCAACACAACTGACAAACAAAGCAGGTACATAAAAAAAAAAAACAGAAAAAAATGTGCATGCAAAAAAACAAAAGTGATTAACCAACAATTGTTCAGGCCATGTGATGGCAGAAAACATAATTCTTCTTGAAATTTCAAAAACATGTCTAACTCAATTTGAAAATAAATGCCAATCCAGAGAATCAGGTTCGTAGAAAGCAATATTTCGACATTCTTCTTTGTTAGTGATGATTATGAGAGCAATGTACCAATCAAAAGAAGATTATAAGAGCAATTTTAAAACAAATAGCCTGCATCCAGGCAAATAAAAGATACATACAGACAACAAAACAACGGTCTAAATATAGTACCACTTTTAATCTTGTTTCCTTCTTTCTTTGTTTCTTTTTTAAATAAATTCAAACCTGGGAGAACATTCTCGAGCACATTACGGAATCTATTTCAACCAAATGCAAAAAAAAAATATGCACAAAAATCGAACAAACGATTTCCAATCATCAGTAACAATGTTCATGCCAATTTGACAGTAAAATATTATGCCTAAAAGCTCAGAAAACACTGATCNATTAATTAAAATGATAGAGTCCAACCATAATGGATCTATAACTTCAAAAATGGACAGATATGATAAAGTAAATGAATCTTGCTGCAATCAATCAAAAGATATGACCAGACTTGCCCAATTCAGGTCATATTAAGAGAAATCATACCAAAACTCCAATGCACAAAACTGCGTGATTTTTCCACAACTTTCCTAGATTTTTCGCAACCACACCAATCTCAAAACTACCTAGAACCAACACAACTGACAAACAAAGCAGGTACATAAAAAAAAAAAACAGAAAAAAATGTGCATGCAAAAAAACAAAAGTGATTAACCAACAATTGTTCAGGCCATGTGATGGCAGAAAACATAATTCTTCTTGAAATTTCAAAAACATGTCTAACTGAATTTGAAAATAAATGCCAATCCAGAGAATCAGGTTCCCAGAAAGCAATATTTCGACATTCTTCTTTGTTAGTGATGATTATGAGAGCAATGTACCAATCAAAAGAAGATTATAAGAGCAATTTTAAAACAAATAGCCTGCATCCAGGCAAATAAAAGATACATACAGACAACAAAACAACGGTCTAAATATAGTACCACTTTTAATCTTGTTTCCTTCTTTCTTTGTTTCTTTTTTAAATAAATTCAAACCTGGGAGAACATTCTCGAGCACATTACGGAATCTATTTCAACCAAATGCAAAAAAAAAATATGCACAAAAATCAAACAAACGATTTCCAATCATCAGTAACAATGTTCATGCCAATTTGACAGTAAAATATTATGCCTAAAAGCTCAGAAAAAACTGATTGAAGATCAAGAAAATTAGGAAAGAAACAAACAGATTTTGACAAATTAAAGCAAATTGTGTCGAAGAAAATCCCAAAATCCTAAAATTTGTGGTTAGATCTGTGTATTTTGGACTAGATGTAGCTACAAATTACTTGAGAGCTGGTCAGATCTAAGTTTGTCTCGTCTGGTCCTTGTCCAAATCTTTTCCCTTTCTTTGTAGAAAGAGATGAAGGAGATGAGACGAGGTATGAGGGATCAGAAGGAGATGAGACAAGGTATGAGGGATCAGAGGAAGATGAAACTGCAAATGAGAGATTCGTGAGAGAATCGCCATTTCAAATGATAAGAGTTGAAGGGAGCGATTGAGTATNTAAGTTTGTCTCGTCTGGTCCTTGTCCAAATCTTTTCCCTTTCTTTGTAGAAAGAGATGAAGGAGATGAGACGAGGTATGAGGGATCAGAAGGAGATGAGACAAGGTATGAGGGATCAGAGGAAGATGTGCAAATGAGAGATTCGTGAGAGAATCGCCATTTCAAACGATAAGAGTTGAAGGGAGCGATTGAGTATTTTTTCCTGATGGATTTGGCCTATTACAGTGTGGGTTGGGAATGGGAAATACCTTGGTTGATTTGGTAATGTCTAATCCCATGATTTGTGGGATTAGATATTCTGTGAGAATGAGAATGAATTTTTAATCCTTCAAACTAAACACGGGAATGGAATTACCAAGTGATGTCTATTCCATTCCTAACATTGAATACCATGTACCAAACACAGTGTAAAAGTTTTTTTGCTTTTATTGAGGGAGAGAGAGAGATGAAGGGGTGCTGTTTTTGGTAACAATACACAAAATGACCTAATTAATATATATTCAGGGACTAAAATGACCTAATTGCATTGTTGAGGGACAAAAAAGGAAACAAAATTTTTGTGGCATAGCTGACTGCTGACTTTTTATGGTAGAATAGATCTTTGGTTGGAACAGATTTAGACATTTTCTATGCTACTTCTGACTGAAACTTCTTATGGTTGCAAGTTCCATTCCTCTACTGACTTGATCCAGTAGGCCACCAGGAGGCCTACTTGAGTTGTACGTGGCAATCCTGGTCTTGAGTGGTATGATTTATCTATAGTATTGGTCACCCATTATTTTTTCTTAATTTACACTATATCTTTCTTTTCTGAAGTTATGTTTCATATATTTTTACGTAAACAGTTTCAGAGAGAATGGGTCTGTAGGACTACGGATAAAGTATACCACTGTAGTATCTGACTTGGTAGAACATTCGGTAAACAACCCCAAATCACTGACTTCTCACTGAAATTATGCGGAATGGTAAGATAGGGTTCATTGTAGCCATAGAGCACATGCCCAAATAATTGTGAGAAGGCCTTTCTGAATTTTTTGTGTGGGCTGTTTTTTGCGTTTTGTTTTGTGTGCATGTGGTAGCAGGAAGTTTGAAGTATCTCATACCACAATGGTGCCTGGTAGAATAGTTGGTATTTTGGAGTGATAGTAGGTAAATCCAAGACTTGAGATATAGTGGGGGAAAAGCTAGTACCTGTCCATTGGTTGCCCCAATCCTCCTGTGGCAGCAAGTGAATTGGGAAAAAATAAAGTATCTTAGAGCATTTTTGACCATCTATTTAGTTTTGCCCTTTGAATGTAGTCATAATCGTCCCAAAATTCTGAAGTCTCTAAACCTCTGTATCTTAACATCTTCTTTAATCAACAGGAAATCTCAATTGCAGCCAATTTACCCCAGAAGGAGATTGGAAAGTACATCAAAATACTGGGAGAAGCTCTACAGTTAAGTCAGCCCATTAACAGCAATTCCATATCAGTACATATGCCAAGGTTTTGTACGCTTCTTCAACTGAACAAATCTGCCCAGGTAGATACCGTTACATTACTAAATATTTGTACCTGCTCATCATAAGGCCATTTATTTGGGTATGAAGCATTTGGGTAGAACGCATTGGTTGCAAACCTTTTTGACACTAAATATTTTGGAAAAATTCCCCCCCTTTTTTTTTTCTTTCTCCACATTACAAGCTGTGTGATTAAGATGGCACAGATTAAGAATTTTTTCTTGCACAGAAAATTGTCAGGTATTTCCTGAAAATATTCATAGCCTTTATAATAGTCTGAGTCTGAGAAATGGATTTCGAAAATGTATTTTCCTTGGCATTTAATTTTTTTCTGAACTTTCTGGAGGGTAAATCATTCCAATTTTTGTTTCATGTACTAACTTTAATATGGAGGACCTGCCTCCTTGTTCTTCTGCAATGTTCATCCTGACTGGACACTTTAACTCTGTTAGTCACCAAAAGCATGACTTGCACAGTATAACCTTCTCAGGAGCTGGCAACTCACATTGGTGAAGTCGTGATCAACAAGTGCTTCTGCACTCGCAGGAATCCCATCAGCATCTCTGCAGCTGCGATATATTTGGCCTGCCAACTGGAAGACAAACGGAAGACCCAGGCGGAAATTTGTAAGGTGACAGGACTAACTGAGGTCACTCTGCGGAAAGTTTACAAAGAGTTATTAGAAAATTGGGATGATCTGCTTCCTTCCAATTATACTCCACTTGTCCCTCCGGAAAAAGCATTCCCCACAGCTACAATTGCCTCAGGCCGTTCTTCAACACCTAGAGTTGATCTAGTCGAAGGAACTTTGGATAGGGACCAGCAACCTGAAAGTAAGCCTACTAAAAAAAATGATTTCTTAAAACAGGACACTGAAATCAAAGATAATTTTCGTGGCAGTCACACTTCTGCGTTGCACCAGACACCAACTTTTTGGAGGCCTCAGGTTCCAATTGGGAGTTCTACTACTGAGACTTCCGAGATTAAAAATCAGAATGTGACTCAAGAAATGGAGATTGATGCAGAGTCTCTCTCTCAGGATTTGGAAAAGAAGGTGAATAAAGATGCAAGGACTGTTTCTAGCTCTTTAAAGCCAAGCCAGTTTTCCGCATCCCCTCCTTCAAAATCAAGTTCCTTGCCCATGCCCTGGCCATTGGGGCCTTTTCCATCTGTCCAATATGCACAACCCCCAAAGGTGGCTTCTAGTATTGCAGAGAAAGGAACTTTGGATCAACATGGAACTAAAAAGGTTGAGCGATGTGGGGATACTTAAAAGCAGATTCATAATGGGCCTTATTTTTTTGGTGTATATAACTGTAGAAGATTCGGAAATACTCCGTTTTAATTTCCAAAATCGTTTCAGGTTATTTAGCTTTGGAATTTTGTGAAATGCCATGCAGCAGTACTCTGAATCATTTCTTGTTTGGTAAGAGTTCAACTGTTTGTTGTAAACAGCATGTTATCGAACTACAAGTTGCTTTATCTCTGTGTGTACAATCAGTTCGGGTAACCTAAAAGAAATGGATCGGTACAATTATAGCTTCCACATTTGTTGCATGACATTGTTTGAGGGGCTATTGGTTGTATGAATCTGATATGGAGCCACAAGGTAGAGATTTGTACTTAATTTCTTTCCCGGATTCTTGAAGATTATATCTCAACAGCAGTCGGAAATATTTTGTTGTTTCATTGTGGTTTTTTCTGGGGTTTGAAGCTTCTATTCTTTCTCATTTTCTTTTGCCCCCTGATGAATATACGAATCCAGATAATGGATCAGGCTGAAAATGGATTGTTGGATCCACAATCTCAGTAACTTATCATCACAACAGTAAACTGATGGAGAAAATAAAGAAAACAAAACTAGGAAATTATTTTTTTTGAGTAATAATGTGTATGTTAAAATTCTTACTAAATTTTGTTTACCAAATGAAAGGCGGGTGGTTGGACTGAAAAAAGTTAATATGATTGTTTGGTTCATTTTTTACAATTTTGTTGAATAAACAATGAATGACATCTGACTGTAGAATGAATCAGCCACAAGGATTACCACATGACATTCGTTTAACAAGTGAAAGAAGAGATAAAGCAAATCAATGTGACTTCTCAAATTTAAGGACAGTTACAAATCCTTTATTTGGAGGAAATAAGACAGTTGTTCTGGGATTCCAAAAGGCGACAATTATCAAGGTTAACTGGATAGTTGAAGTTAGGAAGACAGCAGTTAAAGCAAGAAAAGAAAATAGAAAGAAACTGCCTCATAGCCAGTGTAACCATCGATGAAGCGATGCTTATAAAAAAGGAATTAATTGCAAGAAAATGAACTTGATCAAATTCATCAAACAACCATGACATGGCATTTTAGGTATAGAGCTTAGTTTAGTTTTAGGATAGAATGAGTACTGTAATTTAAGGTTGATTCATCAGTCTGTTTTAATCCAAAACACTTTGCAGATTAATAAAAGTGCCTTTCATTTTGTTAATCTCTTGATTACCATCTTTGTTGCTTTAAATATGTTGATTGTTGTCATCGAAGGAAGTCTTGAAACAAGGTTGTTGAACCCAACATAAACAATTGCTTGAGAACAATCTGTCGAAGGATTGTACCCATCAACCGCTAGAGAAAATCATTTGTGCTTGCTTGCTTCTTTCCAATTATTGTGCTCATCTATCTGAAATGTGTTTCCCAAACATAGAAAGAGTTTGCAGGGTAGTAACTCAGAAAATTCAAGGTCATCTCCTCAGGGAACAATGGCAACTTGAATGGGGATGTGTCATAAAATAATATAAAAAGCCTTGGTATTTGGAGAGTTGGTGGGAACAATAACTACTGTAATGAAATCAAATGGAACAATCGGCTAAACCTCAGAAATCATATCACCATAATCAAGCTATTTGATTCTCATTTATAACTCATCTGAACTAGTAATCTGATTAACCATCAAAAGTGTTATTGTATTATGTTCAAGGATGAGTAAATTACATATTATTTAAAATTATATATGTCAAATTCTCGAATTTTTGAGCTTGATACTTGTTCTAGTTGTTTGTCTCTTTTTGTAGGTAATTTGTATGATTTATGATGTAATGAAGTGATCAAAGTTGAGCAAATAACGGAAGAAGGATTTGGTTGAAATGGGAGATGATTTGATAAAGGAAAGAAGTTGGGAAACATTCCGGAGTATAAATAGACATTCGTGAGAATTCAGGAATAAAATATTTTGACACTACTTTAATATTTTAGTCATAAATTTTTATCCCGATGTCCAATTGAACTGAGTTTTTGGCATTGGAAAGTAGACTTCAATAGTTTCAAAAGTATATTTCATGAAACTTTCGTAAATCGGCCTCTAACTATGCAAAAATCGAGTTTTAAGTTTGGATAAATTTAGTACTTGCGTCGGGATGCACTAACCACGTCCGGACGCACCTATGCTGAGATTCCAGCAGGTTTTGACCGTCTGGACTTTTGGTCCAGTAACTTTTGACTGTTGGGACGCAATTTGGCCGTCGGGACGCACCTCCTTAGATCTAATGCACGATATTTGACTTTAAGAAATTCATTTTTTGAAAGGGATTGCTCTCAAATCAACCATAGACCTTCTAATATATACATAAGACCTCTCTTATGCTGAGGAGAATCTTGGATCCCTCCTCATAACCTTTTATTTTATTTTTCTTAGTTTTTGGAGATCTACAATGCCTTGTGAATAGTTCTCTTTGCATTCTTTAGCCTAGGGTATGGATTGGTGATTATTCTTTTGGATATTATGTTTATGCAATTATTATTTTATTACTAATGTTAAATATTTAATTTTTCCAAGATTGATTAAATGTCCTTAGCAAAGTTTTATGTATAATTGTTTGGTTATTTATTAACAAGATTGAGTTCTTAGTATATTCAATCCTTATGATTCCCTACAAGTTTTATAAAACTAGTTCTTCAAATCTTATTTTCAAATCAATCAAACCAATTGTTTTTCAAATGTATATTTTCTGGTTTACTATAATGATGTTGGAAATTAACTAAGTTAGATTAAATTGCATAAATAGAATTATCCGGTGAGCATGAACAAATCCTAATCCCTAAGCTAAATGGTCGTTTTTCCAATAAATTATTTCCTTTAAATTTTACTTGCAATCATTCTTAAAAAAAAATTCAACCTTTTCAAGAATTCTTTTTCTTCCTTTACCTTTACCTCTAAATTCCCTTTAATCCCTGTGGTTTGACTTCGAACTTACCGAGAAATTGTTACTTCTTAACCACTTGCACTTGGGTATACCTATTTGGGATCAAGTAAGTTTTTTGGCGCTATTGCCAAGGATCAAAAGGTGCAATTTAAGAAGAAGGAAGAATTCTTCACCAACGAGCTACTTGGAGACAATTTTTTCTGGGTAACTTCATTTCATCTTGTAATTAGTTTTAGCTTTTCTTGCATGCCAAATTTTGTTTTTCTGTTTTAGATTAAATTTTCATAATTTATTTTTAGCATTGCCTGTCTAGTAGTCAATCCTTTGATTCCAACCAAACTATATCCCTATTCAAAGAATTAGTACGGTCAGTTGGATCATCTAGTCCTCCTAAGCATTGAAGTGCTGAGTCAGTTATTTTTCCCACTTTTTATTTGAGTCAGATGGGTAGTGAGATGGGTGATTGAGAAATATAGGTCAATCCGCAAGGCAAAACCCTAAGGGATTATTTACATCTTGTTCGCAACAGTGTACCTTCATGTTTTATTCTACCTACGAACGCCCAAAATTTTAATGTCAAACTAGGGACTATACGATTGTTACCCTAGTTTCATGGGCTTGAGTTTGAAAACCCATTCCTACACATTAAGGAATTTGAGAATGTGTGGGACTTTTCAACACAACTTTGATGTAGCCCGACTCAAGCTTTTCCATTTCTCACTAAAGGATAAAGCTAAGTTGTGGCTAAATTCTTTAAATCCCTTATCTATTCCTAATTGGCAAGCACTCCAAAAAGAAGTTTTCAAGAATTTTTTCCATGTTCATCGTACAAATGCTTTGAAACGTAAAATTATGAATTTTTCTGTTAAGGAAGGGGAAACTTTTTCTGAGTGTTGGAAGAGATTTAGGATCTTCTCCAAGCTTGCCCCCACCATAATTTTGAAAACTAGAGGTTATTAGGTTTTTACTATGATTCTCTCCCCACTTATTTGCATCAATTTGTCGAGATGATGACATAAGGGGGTTTTATGGGTAAGAGCCCTGATGAGGCTTTTGATTACTTGGATACATTAGCAAAGAGTTCCCAGATGTGGGACTCAGCTTCATCGACCCAAGTAGAGTGTAGAGCCACCACTTCTCACAGGGGAATGTTTGTTTTGAAAGAAGAGGATGATTTGAGGGCCAAAATGACCACCATGGCCCATAAACTTAAGGCCTTGGAGATGCAAAAGGTTAATGAGGTGTCTATTATTCCTCCCACAGAGCAGGTGTGTGGGATGTGTGCTTTGTTAGGGCATCCCACTGGGAAGTGTCCTTCTATTCCAACCTTCAAGGAGGTCCAACTAGAGCAATCTAATGCAATCTATAGTTTTAATAGGAATTATTCTAACCCATACTTTAAGACTTATAATCAAGGTTGACATGACCACCCAAACTTTAGTTGGTGGAACAATCAACAAGCACAACCATCTCAATACCCAACATACTAGCCACCACCAATAAGGAGTCTAGATGACACTTTAAATGAATTCATGTATAATCAGATGAACTTTAACATTCAAATCACCTAGGCCCTTAATGAATTCAAGGCTCAAATCACTTAGGCTATTAATGACGTCAAGGCTCAAACTTCACAATTCATAGACTATATCAAGAATCACCTAAAAAAGTTGACCCAATCATTGAGTTCCACTGAGAAGGGTAATTTTAATGCCCAACCAAAGTCACCCCAGGGTCAATTCCAAATAGGTGTCTCTTCCACTTCTGAAGCACCACTTTAGCATACACAGTCCATCACCACCCTTACGAGTGGTAAGGTTGTAGACAAGGCCATGGCTCCCAAGAGTCTAATTCCACATTCAAGTGTACGCTAGTTTCCCATGATGAGACTGCACCTAAGGTGAAAGAGGATCCATCATGTCCCATAACATCTCCTTTTCCCCAAAGGTTGAAGAAGCCACAAAAGATAAATCACCATGCTTAGATTTTTGAATTATTTAAACATGTTAAAATAAAATATTCCTTTGCTTGATGCCATAAAGTAGGTACTCTCTTATGTAAAGTTCCTAAAGGACTAGTGCATTATCAAGAGAAATATCAACGTGCAAATGAAGTCATTTCTTAAAGAGCAAGCTAGTGCCATTATTTATCACAAGACCACACCAAAATACAAAGATCCAGGCTATCCTACAATTTCATGCATTATAGGAAATTTCAAGTTTGAACAAGTTTTGCTTGATCTGGGATCTATTGTCAACTTACTCCCATACTTAGTCTACCAACAATTAGGTTTATGTGAGCTTAAATCCACAGGTATGACATTACAGTTGGCAGAACGATCTGTTAAAATCCCTAGAGGAGTGCTTGAAGATGTCCTTGTCAGAGTGGATAAATTTTACTTCCCTATAGATTTTCATAATGTTGGACACACAACCAGTTTTGTATGTTGGCACTCTGTTTACACCCAAAAATAGCAATA